GCGAAACGAAGAGTGGTATGTATAAGCAATATAATTTACTGAGTCAGGTACTTTTTCCATTTTATTTGAAGCTTCCACAATGTTTTGCATGTAATTAAATATCATACCAGCATGTGAGTGTGTTTTTGCGGCTGTGCATATATATATATATATATATATATATATATATATATATATATATATATATATATATATATATATATATATATATATTACTTTTTCATATTGGAACTAATATCTAACTGATTTTGCCACACACACACACACACACACACACACACACACACACACACACACACACACACACACACACACACACACACACACACACACACACACGCACACACACACACACACACACACACACACACACACACACACACACACACACACACACACACACACACGCATACACACACACTACTCTATATCGTTATTAACGCTTACCTGGGTGTGCAGATCCGAAGCCATTACGTGTACGGCCCCTTGAACATCGAGCTGGTATTCAACACAGATAAGGGCGTCAAGACCATCAACTCCACCCTGGGCGCCGTGGCAGCGCATGCCGTGACAGGCCTCCATAGTAACAGTTCGAAGCTCATAGACTTTATAATCGACAGGTAGGCTCCTTGATTTCATTTGCAGGCAGATTAACCCTTCGTCCTCCTGGCGCCAAGCGTCGTAGCCATGTTGAGGAGCCCACTTTATGCATTCTCTCCCTTTCGTCTCACGGGGAGCAGGACGTTCCAGAGCCGAAACCGAAAGCAAAAAGAAAGCAGAGCGTTAACCCGAGTCTCCTCCTCCCGCTCGCAGGTCCGCGGCCACTGGCTAACGGGGCCCCTTGACCTGATCATTGACTATCGAGGCAGTCCGGGCATCACCAGGGTCCGGACCGGGATCCAGGCTGTCCAGTTCGATACGCTGACCACTGTTGACCGCTATGGGGCCGAAATGGCCGAGTATCAGCTCATCAGGTAGGTGGACCCAAGACGATGACTCTGAAGATTGATGCTGAATATTCGTAGTATTGAGAATTGATGGACCAACCTGGTTCATCCATTCGCTATAGCAAATACGCATATAGTCGTTCCTATTTGCTTTTGATTTTTTAACATAAGACTTGATAAAATGACTCATATGACACCTTAATATGGAAGACACTTTAAGGTCCAGTGGTCAGCAAAGGACAGGACAGTGTATGGACCGGTGCTCTGGCAGCGTCCCGTTATTATTTTGTCAAAACCGGAAACCGACGTCTGGCCGAAGCACTGATACTGGCAGGCGTGGAAGAGGTTGTGAATTGGCATCTTCGTGTGTTTCCGAGTTGATGTATTCTATTCATAGTTAGTTGATGTATTCTATTATAGTTTGTCTGCGCTGCAAACAAACTATAATACTCACATCTTTGTTGTGAAGCAATCAGCAGTTAATAATGTTTCAGTGGTGAAGGAAACACGCGAAATTTCGTTCACTACCACAGTATTCACGCGAACAACCGAGTCAATCTTCGCCTCATGCGTATCTCCCTTTCCTTTGCCAGTCCGCTGTTCGACTTCATGCCATACTACGGCAACCGCACTCTGGCGCAGCAGCGCACCACAGAGCTGGTCGTGCGACATCTCTTCTCGAATGCCTCCTTCATGAGCCTGCTTTTGCGCGACGCCTTCGAGATCGCCTCCTATGACAAGATCATTCCGCAGTTTGGCACGGAGGCCAACTACTACACCGTCCTCAAGTACCTTTTCAACAACGGTCCCGGAGCTTCAAGCAGATCGCCCCCTGCTGCTCGTGGCGTCTCCCTCCCCGGGGTGCCTTCAGCCATTGCCGAGTACCTGGCCGGGGTCGCGCGCCAGGCCAAGAGCACTCTGGAAACCTTAGGCTAAGGCCACCACTGTTAATGCGGCTGAACGAGAGAGACCTTTTTGCTGCAGTTCATCGGCAGCGCAGATATGCCTCTCCTTTAGGATGTGTTGAGTTTTGTTGGATGTAATGTGAAATACCTGACTTGCTGATTTGTAACTCAGAACTTAGGTTTGGCGCACTAATACCAAAATAAATGTGTGCTCAATTTTCTTTACACAATTCATCTACGCTCTCAGGCCACTTGTTGAATTCCACTTTCCCGGTAATAATATTGCTCTTTCGTGTAGAGAACCGCCCTGTGATATGCTTACGATAGTGAGAGGAAACTGATATCGTATTTTCAGGCCTACTGGACTTGGGATAATTACAGTTATCGCTAAATGTCTTTCTCAGTCTGCTCTTCATATTAGGCTTCCGGATGAATTAATCCTTTTTCACATTATTACAAAGTAACTAACCAAATAATTATATTTAACTTTTTTTGGAAAATTAGTTCTGCTGGTTCGGAACGATTCCAAACATTAATATATTTATATGATTATAATCCTTATTCCTAATTTTTGTGTTTGTCTGTCTTTCCCATGGTGGTTGGCTGGTCCAGCACATTGCCAGATAATAAAATTAGATTTTAAATATA